CAGGATTCTTTTTTTTTTTTTTTTTTTTGGAGAGGTTTTTGCTATAGGGCGCGTGCACACACCAGACAGACAGAGAGAGACAGAGAGATAGAAAGCGAGAAATCACCCCCCAGAGGGGATGGCCATGCCGCAATCCCTTCTCCTCCATTCTCCTCTTGGGATCTTGGGCACGCACACACACGCGCCCGGCATGAGTTTTAAGCCACAGGGTCCAGGACGCAAACCGTGGTCAACTACGTGGGAGTCCAGCGACATAGCCATTACGCCATTATGCTAACTGCTGGTCCCAGAAGGCAGGATTCTCTGTCAAATGTAATCGTGCAGTCCTGCCAACACAAAGGCTGTCCAGTATGGGTGCTGGGAGAGTTCCATGGGTGTAGACTGTAGGCTTCCGGACACTGATGCAAAAATCCAATTAGAAGGACAAGGGTTTGTAAAGCCTGGGGATTTGTGCTTTTAGCGATCGTTTCAAGGGATAGTAGTATAAACGGTCTGTGAATCAAATCTTGAAAAACAACAATTTGGAACCTTGAATTTACCAAGGTCTCACCAGATCATGGGACTGGGCGGGGTACGTCAGGCCTAGCAGACAGCTCCTAAGTCAGACCTGTTCTCGGCACAGGCAACGTGAATACTCTGTTAGAATGGAACGATGGTACCGCGTGGACGTTATTCTGGAAAGAGGAGCCACTTCAAAAAAAAAAGAAAAAGGCAGCAACCCAATTGACCACACAATACTTCGAAAATTCAGAACTTGGCAATTTTCTCATACCTTACAAATGACACCCACCACATCAAGAAACTTCAGTTATTTGGACATGACAGTAAGTTATTCCCTTTACAGAAATGTCTGCAACTAGCAGAGCGGCGGCAAGTACAGATCATTTGAATTCGGTTTTGCAGATAACTAAAATGCTACGTACTATCTAACTTTGTCCCAGCAGCAAGACTAGGCAGCCTGTTGCCCCTTCACAGATAAATGAACTGATTCTCTGAGAGTCTGACTTGCTTTTGGAAAAGGATTAAGCAAACCTTTCCTTCTTCTGCATAAGAATTTGACCTTGGGTTAACTTTCTAACTCTGTTCTCCTGGAAACCTGATAAAGACATAATGTTAGCTCTGTTACTAAGCAACATCATTCATGGTAAAAAATGACCGTTGATTATTAAACCCCATCTTGCCTAGGAAGAACTATAAACGAAGGATGAACACCTCTCGGGGCCACTGTCATTTTGGGCGGCTCTGTGTGCTGTGAGGACTAAGTGCTTAGTTTTATTGAGACCCCTACAAGTTGAGCAGGTGGAGTTGTCACAAGAGATAGAGTCCCAGTGGGGAGTGTGGTGTTTAAGCCTGCATGACTCATGCACCTGCCCTCCATGAGTCCTGCTCTCTCACATCTGAGCTGTTGTGGGGGTGAGGGCAGAGGAAACAGCTGGATGGTGGTGTGTACTGCTGTAAATATTGCTGCAAAGGCCACGTAGGCGGAAGAGAAACACCTGGCCCGGCCCTGCCAGTGAACTGTGACTCCTGCCTAGCTTTTCTGAGTAGGATGATGCCCAGTATATAGTGGAGCCTCTGGTGTTTTTAGTTTTTGCTATGGGGCACATGTGCTTGCCAGAGAAAGAAAAAGAGAGTGAAAGTGAAAAATCACCTCCCCAGGGGGATTGGCCATACCACAATCCCTTCTCTTTGCCTCTTCTTGGGATTTTGGGCACGCACACACACACCCTGCATGGCTTTCAGGCCTACTGTTCTGGGACTTGAACTACACAGCAGGCCATGTGGAATCCAGTGCCTTAACCCCCACAGCTCCTGCTGGACCCCTGAGGGCTTTTTGAGGTTGATCCTGAGCAAATGCTCTGGTGACCACCACACTTGCCTAAAGTCACACTCTCAGTAATAGGGTCAGGATTCAAACTCAGTTGACTATCAGTGAAATACTCCATCGCTTTAATTGCAGGGCCTGAGCCTCTCCTCCTGAGAGAACTGTACTCTGGCCCAAGATGCTGGCACAACTTTCGATCTCGCCCAGCTTTGCCCTTCCAGTGCCTTCTGAGGTCTCTAAATTTGGTAGCTTATAATCTATCCTGCTGGCCTAGCCTTAGTAAGTGGTCTACCTGTTCCCTGAGTTCCATTTCCAGACTATCTTCCAGAAAATTCTTTAAATTCAATGATGCCACTCTGGCTCACAGCTATCAATTGGTTTTGTAAGCCTTCTGATGATTAAGGGTCCTGGCTAGAGGGTCAGGGCAATGTCTCAGCTGATTCTCAAAGGTGATTATCATTCACTGAGACCAAAAGGCACCTAAGCTCTCCTGGCTTGGGTAACACTCCTGAGGGTGACTTATCTCCTGGTGACCAAGAGAAGCCCGAACCCATCCCTGAGAGAATCTTGCAGAAGTTTACCCTCTACAGGCCCTTCAGAGAAAACAAGGGTCACAGTCCAGTGAACGAAGCAGGTGTGCTCTCGGGCTAACACCCTGACCGGAAGGGTAGGATGAGTCATTTCTCTCCAGCCTTCCTTTCCTTTTCTCTAAGCAAAAATCTGAAACAGGAATCAACACAAGTGATACCACGTCTCGGAAGTCCGCCCTGAGCCTTCCTGGTTATGGTCCTCTTGCCCTCAAGTTCAAGCACATCTCTTATCACAGAACATGCGAGCACCACGCCTCCCCCCAGGCTACGAGACCCTGGGAAGCAGAGTCTTGAGTTTCAGTCCTTCCTGTCACTGCAACCAGCCCATTGCTGGACAGATAGCAGGTGCTGCACAAGGGTAACAAAATAAATAAATGAGAGGAGCATGGCCCGGGCTGCCCATTTTGTAAGAATATATTATTTGCATAACCTAAGCATATTGTTAAAAGGGGATCAGTCGGGTTTATGAAGGAAAGAGGAGGAGGACATGGGTGGGAAGAGAAGGAAAAATAGAGCTAAGTAGCATGATTCACTTGAGGCAAAAACTAAGGGTTTCTTTCTTTTTCTCTCTCTCTTTTTTTTTTTGAGAGGTTTTTTCTACAGGGCGCGTGCGCTCGCCAGACAGAGAGAGACAGAGAGACAGAAAGCGAGAAATCACCCCCCAGGGGGGCATGGCCACGCTGCAATCCCTTCTCCTCCATTCTCCTTTCGGGATCTTGGGCATGCACGCACACGCGCCTGGCTTGAGTTTTAAGCCACCGGGTCTGGGATGCGAACCATGGTCGACAACATGGGAGTCCAGCGACATAGCTATTACGCTAACTGCTGGTCCCTTTTTCTTGAGAGAGAGAAAGAGAGATTTTTTTGCTATAGGGCACATGTGCTTGGTGGAGATAGAGAGAGACAGAAAGTGAGAAATCACTCCCCTCCCGAGGAGAAATAGCCATGCCCCAATCGTTTCTCCTCCAGTCTCCTCTTAGGAATTAGGCATGCATACATACATGCCCGGCATGAGTTTCAAGCCTCCGGGTCTAGGACTTGAACCGTGGTCGGTCATGTGAGAATCCAGCAACATAACCATTACACCAAGTGCTGATCCTGAGGTTTAAGACTCCTGATAGATTGAAACATCTTGGTCCTGGTTTTAGTGCTAGTTGTGAGCTCCCAATGCTTTGGCTGGCAAGCTCCATATATTGGATTATCAGAAAGGTCATGATGTATTTTTCTATGCAAAAAATGCATCCTGACTTTTCCAACAACCCAATATATATCAGCCCTATATAAATTTCCTTCATACTGGGAGGAGAGGAGATATGACAATTAACAAACCCTTGAGGTAACCCAGCTCCACTAACTCAGTGATCCTAGGAAGGAGGAGTGGATAGGGAGGGTCTGATCTCATTCGCAGGCTCCTGAAGTGCCTTAGGGAGTAGGAGACGCTCTCCTGGGTCTCCTGGGTCTCGGGGGAAAGACATCATCTGGGACAAGCCTTAGGGAGCCTCTGCTTCCAAGAGACCTGGGTGTATCCCCTGAAGAAGTCTAGTTCCCTCTGCCTGGGTTCAAATCCAACTCCTACCTTTCACTATCTGTTTCTGGTTGGATCATCTAAACTGCCTCGGTATCTCTTAGCTTCTCCAGTGTCTCTATCTCCTAGCTTCTCCAGTGTCTCAGGAGATAGAGGCGAAAGCAAGCAAAGGTTGGTATTACTACCCTCTGTGTAGGACCCTGGGGCTAATTCACCCTGTTTGTCTATCTTCAAAGTTTAGTCCTCTGCACCGTAAAAATAAATAAATAAATAAATCATATCATTTTATGATAAAAGTTACATCATCACAACCCCAAGGGCAAACTTGTCTACTCCTTACATGTAGAAAAGAACTGCACTTAGCCAACCTACATTCCTGACTTTTTCAAAGGGTAAATCCCCCTGATTCTTAACTCCCTTCACATTAGTTCTGAAGGGTACAAAACTTAACAGATCACATAACATAGGCCCTGAGAAACGCATTTCTGGAAAGCCACCTATTACTATAAATCATGGTCGTCATTGTCTTTTTTTTTTTTTTTTAATATACATTTGCTGGAGAAAGACAAAGACAGAAAGAGAGAGAAGGAAAGTGAGAGCACCGCTCCCCAGGGAGGATGGCCACACAGCATTCCTTTTCTTTCATTCTCCTTTTGGGATTTGGGGCACACACACCTGGCATGTTTTTCAAGCTGCCAGGTCTGGGACTCATACTATTTAGTCAGTCATGAGGGATTCAGTTGCCTTAAGCACCATACTACCTGGCTGGCCATATAAAACATATTTTATGACAATTTATTTTCATATTCCAAATGCTATATTCCTTCTATCTGTAGCTAGGTGTCTTATGGCTCCCCACCCAGACGAATATAGTTATTCTTGCTAGAAATTATAACATTTTCCAACCCTTATTAATGCCTCTGCTAACAGAGTCTGTATGTCCCTTTCTCAACATCCTATTTGTGACTCCTCCCCGACCCCAACCAAACTCGCCCAAAAGAACTAAGTTGGTCTGTTTCAAAGGAGGAAACCATGAAGGACCCCCAAAAAGAAGACTCACCTTTCTCATGGTTGCTTGGTGGTGGGGGCGGAGGTGGGGAGGTGACTGGTTTAGACTTGTCATAGTTGTTAAAGCTCTGGCTTCGTCGGTTGTTAGCAGCGGCTGATCCTCCGCGTGTTTTGGCCTCGCTGCCTGCAGCAGATACCCTTGCGGTAGGACCTGGAAGCCTAAAATGCAAAAGCAACAAAGTAATGCATTCAGTCTCGAGAGAACAGCAATGTCTCAGCGAAGAAACTGCAACCAGGTAGAAGGTAAAGGTTTGACAGTCAAAGAATTTAGTCAACCCACTACAAACATCTAGGCTAGTAATAACCCCAGCAAAGCACAACAACAAAATACTAAGTTTTCCTCTGAGCAAAGAAAAAAAATGAAAAGAAATATCTACAAATATGTGTGTTGGTTAAACATACAGAACTTAACTTTCTTTTTCTTCTGGGATGAATATTTTCAATTTTCAACAGGGCTGTGTCTAATTCTATCAAGCATGGAATGAAGAAGAATGTTAAGACCCCACACTGCTTACCTCCTGTGTGCACATCTTCTGGAAGGTGTTGAAAATAATGCTCATCATTTCCCAAGGGTATAAGTATCAAAAAACAGACACGACTTATAATGATGAGAAAGGGGATTATTATCACTCAGAACCCAACACATCTGCAATGAAAACCTAAGTCCTAGTTGAAAACACTTGTCCAGACACACATTTTCATTCAATATCTGACGACCTGTCTCCATAGGCATTACTCTGAAGCTGAAGCCCAGTTTCTCTGCACAGGAGATGGATTTTTTTCTTAGACTAAAGACAAACACACTTTCCCTTTAAATAAAACACTTCATTTTGGGTGGTTTGGGAAATAAAGTCACCAGCCTTCTTTGTAGCAAGTCTAAAGATATTATAGCCCATTCCCCAAAGAGTTAAGGGTAAGACTCCCCAGCTCAGAATTTCGGTTTAGGGACTTACTAAGTAGGCTGTTTCTAATAATTAAAGTTGAAAGATGAATAAATGATAAAATGTTTAGTTATATCTTTTGGCTAAAACCCATTTAGCTCTGTTTAAAAGCCACTGGAACCTCAGCAGACTAACATTACATCTAGTAATAAATCTGAATTTTCAACTTATAAAGCTTTCAGCCTTCTCTTTCAATGCGTATCTGTAAGGACCAAAGAAATGTGCAGTCTGGAAGCATTTTAGATACAAGAAGGCAATCACGTTATACTTTTTCTTGTTGGCTAAGCAAGAAAGATGGTTGCAGAGTAAACAGAGAATATGAGCTGGTGTGAGAGGGCTGTAAAATTTATACGGTTGAGAAGAAGCTGGCCCAATTCCCTGACTGGGAGCTGGGAGGGAAGAAAGGGGCTTAGCTCTTCTCCCAAACAAGTAGCAGTGAGCACTGGAAGGCACCACTTTCCACTGTACTAGGAGGATTCGTCCCTCTTCATTTATTCCACCTTGTTTGGAGAGGATATTCACACTGAGACATGGCACAGAATGGGGTATAAAAACCAACAGAGTCAGAGTCTGTGCCGGGTACCCCTTAGTTCTGGGTACCCCTTAGTTCTGGGTACCCAATGGGATCTTGGCACCCCTTGGTTCTGCTTCATAAATCAACAGTGGGTCGCAAATCCCAGTCACTGTTATCTGAGTACTCACATTCAGCAGTAGAGTTTCTGCAGGTGCAGACATGGGGCTCCTTTGGCTGGACTTAACCCAGCCATGGTCTGCAGGAGTCTTTATGCCCACAGATAGGCCTGGAAAAGGATTACGGACTTGTTCCAAGATGATGTCACAGCAATGGTATTAAGTGGTGCAGGGTAAAGGTTATAGAATCTACTTCAGCAGGGAATTTGCAAAGAGCAAGGAAGCTAAAAGCAACAGGAGGGAAAAGATGCATTTCCTTCAGAGCTGTTGGAGAGTCCCCACCATGCTGGCCCGGGGCTGGACCATCCTCACTTAACAGAGGCAAGTAATTAAAGCCCAGAGTGAGGCAGGTACAGCTTTGGATGAAGTAGCCAGTCTGTTGCTCAGTGAGGCAGGGCGGTGTAATGAACACCAGCTTTTCCAGACACAAGACCATTGGATCAGTTTCACAGGCTTATCAAGATTCATGTCCCTACAATTTTGGAATAATAGGAAACATGCTAAGGTACAAGAAAGACTCCAACAAATAAGGAAATAGGTGGGTCTGGGCTAACGAGTCAGAAGAAAGTGAGACAAAAATCAACACACCAGAGTCTAGGGTCAACCTCTTTGAAGAGGCAAGGCCGACTTTGGCAAATAGGGTTCATCCTCCTAAGGAACATTCCAGAAGAGAAATGACTTCACCCAAGCATTTGTGACTGACAGAGACCTTATAGGTGAGCACCTCTAAGTTATCTGTGAGTCCCACTGGTTGGAATGCAGCATTCCTGGTTTTGCATTAAGGAGTTGTGAGTTTCTCATGGGTGGCCATGGTCAAATTCTCTTCATTGAGTCAGGAAACTCCGTGTTCCTCTAACGGGAGTAGCAGTTTGAATGGCTGCAGGGTGTATCGAGTCTTCTGGGACACAAAGAAGGTGTTCTTGAGGGCCTTGAGGACAGCCAGCATGGCACATGAAGAACTGGCACATGGCTCCCTAAATGCAGGGTGTATGGAGTCTTCTGGGACACAAAGAAGGCGTTCTTGAGGGCCTTGAGGACAGCCAGCATGGCACGTGAAGAACTGGCACATGGCTGCCTAAAGCCAGCACAACGCCTGAGTCAGTCAGTGCCCACCATCTCCCACCATCACTACTGCACCTACACACAGCAGCTCCTTTAATGTGACCAGACCAGAAAACTGGCCGGAGACCACGTGACTTCTTCTCAGTTTCTGAAAGAATCCATGCTGACACTATAGTTTCAAACTTGAGTTCCGTCGTCAATGGGTTTGAGCTGTTTCTCCCATGTAAACACCCTGGAACATGTACATCTGGAACATGTACAGATGGGAGAAGGAGCCAGTGCGTACTGGCAGGTCGGGGACAGAGTGGGAGGGAAGAAGGCTGGAGAAGCAGGCTGAACCAGGAGGGAAGACCTTGTGTGCCACGCTACAAAGCTTGGACTGGGTCCTGCCCTCCAGTGACGAGGCTGAGAGCAGGGCTGATGCTGAAAAGCAGAGTGCTGTCTAGATTACCAGCGCGCAGTCCCAAGGCCTCCGGCTAACAGCTGCAAGTTCGTCATCGGTACCATCCTCGTGCATCCTGGGACCCGCTGTCAGCCCTGGCCCGGAAACATTAGCTATCTGCGACATCAGGACCCCTGCTTGCAGAAGGGCTGGTCTAGCTCAGGTGTGACAACCGACACTGCCCGCTGCGCCTGCCTCACGGGAGAAAGGCAGGTCACCCCTGTGTCCTGTACAGCACCACAGGGCCCGCCAGCTCCTTTCCAAGAGAAACTTGACCTCTTGTGGTCACTCCATGTCCACACGCAGTTACAAAACCACACAGAACACGGATGGATTCTTGGAAATACACATGCTTTTTTTTTTTTTCCTTTTAAAATGAAGTTTAAGGCGGGAACCAGCAGTTAGCGTAATGGCTATGTCGCTGGACTCCCACGTAGTCGACCGCGGTTCGTGTCCTGGACCCGGTGGCTTAAAACTCAAGCCGGGCGCGTGTGCGTGCGTGCCCAAGATCCCGAGAGGAGAATGGAGGAGAAGGGATTGCGGCGTGACCATCCCCCCTGGGGGGTGATTTCTCGCTTTCTGTCTCTATGTCTCTCTCTGTCTGTCTGGTGAGTGCACGCACCCTACAGTGAAAATCTCTCCAAAAAAAAGAAAGAAAATGAAGTTTAAGGGGAGTGATGGAATAAGCTGAGGACAATCCTACCGCTATTAGCGCCGCGGTCACTTCTCCCAGCTTGTGCAGAGCCACGCAGCAGGCAGTAAACTGTTCTTCCAGGCACAGAACCCTCAAGTGGGTCCCCGCTCCGCTGTGCCACGGGCTTTACGTGCAGATGGGAAGCAAGCAGTTCTTCCCCTCCAAAACCACTTCAAAGGCTGGGAGCAGAGGGTGGCCCCTCCCAGGAAGGATGGCAGCTTGTGCACACATGCTGGGGTGGGGGTAAGGGGGTCATAACTGGAGATGCTTCTTGCCAGACAAGGCCATTAGATACTAAATCACTCACTTCACAGCATCTGCTTTTCAGCAACTGGGCTAAGAGCACAGAGCTACTAACTCCACTGATTTTCTTCCACAAGATGGTAGTGTAGAGATCAAGTCCGTGGGACCTATGAGAGGTGGCCTGGTTGCCTCACCGGGCCCAGAGCAACTCCACACACCAACATTGTCTATCTACCATCTATGGTACATTACTTCTATGCCAGGAACTAAGGAACTGAAATTGATTTATTTTTTAAATTTTTACTAGAAGGCACATGAATTTGCAGGAGAAAGATGAAGGGGGTGGGCAGTGAGAAACACTCCCCATGGTGGGTGATCACTCACAATCCTTTTGCCCCCATTTCTCCCTCCTTTCGGGATTTTGGGCAAGCATGCACTTGTACCTGCCATTTTCCAAGCTGCTGGGTTCGGGACTCGAACTGCATGGTCAGCCATGTGGGATCTAGACACCTTAACCACCATGCCACTGACTGACCCAAAATGATTTTGTTTAATCCTCACAGCAAAGAGCAAGAAAGACCATCCCATTTATCAATAAGGAAACACAGGCTGCCGGAGAATAAGTAATCGGCCCGAGTAACAGGGTAAATGGTGAAATGGGCTTTTGCCTAGGTTTGGTGGTACCGCTTGGCCAGCATGCTTCTGTGCCTCCCACAGGTAGAGTGAGTCTAAGTACCTGGGCTGTCCAGGCAGGCCAGGGGGCAATAATAGCAGCTAAAGGCAGAAATCTATGGGGAACCCCCATCCCTGCATACCCCACACGCAGATGTAAGGGGGAGGGCTTTCCATTCTGCTCAGTGGCCCTGGTGCCCATCGTGGGGTTTGACACTGACTTGGGTTCAACCCGTGTCTTCCCCCCCTAAGAGACTGACTTCTAGAGCTCTGGGGGAGAACACCTACTCTGCCAGAAGGAACAGGGCTGTTCCTTTTGACAACCAAACTACTGCTATACTCAGTGGTGTTTGGTCAACTAAAGTTCTTTTTTTATTACTGTTACTATTTTAAATTTTGCAATGGGGCATGTGCA